GTATAGATCCCAGAAGACTCTGGAAGATGAAGTAAGGTAGTTATTTCGTATCTGCAGAAAGTTGCTACAGTTTAGGTATCGAAATTTAAGCAAAAGCACAAACGACTGGCGCAAAATGAATCACTACCGGCTGTCCACGGCTAGAATCACCCCATTCATGCGCGCACTAGTCACTGGCCGTGACGAGTTTTGTGATAGTCTGTATATCCCTTACAAGGGTCCATGTACCCAAATAGTATATACTTTGGCCCTGAAGTAATCTCTATATAGATACTTTGGGGCCGAAGTATATACTATTTGGGTACATGGACCCTTAGGGTATTGCACTTGAGAATAGTCGAGCGCCAGTCCGCCCTCTTGCAGGCCGAGGGGCTTGTACCAGTCCGGAATGGAAAAGAGATCCACATGTGCGAGTCCTTCCGCGGGCCACTAGTATGCCGCTCCGCAAGGGAAGGGGCTTCGGATCTCCTCTTGACTTAGACTAGAACGGCCGGCATATATGCATTTCTTGCATCGATGTTTTCTAGAACAGCTTCTCGATGGATCCTTGCCCTTGTGCGAATCTCCGAAACCCATTGAGACGTACCAACACAGCGAGAAGCTTTGTGTCACACACCCCGAAACCAACACACACCACACCACACCCTAAACCCTAAACCCTAAACCCTCAACCCTCAACCCTCAACCCTAAACCCTAAACCCTAAACCCTAGACCCAGAACCCTGAACCCTAAACCGAAGAATCCAGTTGGCCCTAAACCTCTATGCCCATACACTCTGGGACTGACGCCCGCTTACTTTGCCAGCCATAACTGCCAGAGTAGGCTTTGCGGGTATATCGTACTATGAAACTGTTGAAGATATAAATCCTGCATTACCTGAAACTACCCTAAACTAGGGGAACTATGGTATCTATTCCGTATTACTGGGTAATGCAGGATTTGTATCATCAGCCGAAGTATCAGCATGACATGCTGGACTGTTATCAAGGACTGCTACCTAAACTCTAGACCCTAATCAACAATCAACCCTAAAGCCTAAACCCTAGACCCTAATTAATCAACAATTAACCCTAAACCTTACACCCTAAAACCCTAACCCTAGACCCTGATCCCTAAACCCTAATCCTGACCCATCAGGGACTGCTAAATTGCTAAATAAACTCTATAGACCCTAATCAACAATCAATCCTGAACCCTAAACCCTAGACCCCCAAAGATCCTGATCCCTAAACCCTGACCCTAGACCCTGATCCGACCCCGATATTACACGCCACTTGCAGCTCGGGCTCTCAGCACACTCTTCTGCTGGGCAGTCAAGCCACCCTTGTTTTGGGGTTTATAGGGTTTAGGGTTTATAGGCTTTAGGGTTGAGAAGGGACTGTTGTGTGGGATGTTTTTTTTTTGTGTTTTCCACCCTCATTTTTTGTGTTTTCTACCCTTGCGCTGCACACCTGTTCAGACACACAAGCATTAGTATGTATAGTATAGTATAGTATAGTATAGTATAGTATAGTATAGTATAGTATAGCAAAGCATAGCATAGCATAGCATAGCATAGCATAGCATAGCATAGCATAGCATAGTATAGTATAGGAGAGTATGGTATGGTATAGTAATGATGATAAAAACAGTAATACCGATGGTACTAGAAATAGTAATGGTAATAATAGGAATAAAAATAGTACTAGGAATACAAATAGTAACACGAAGTATAGTATAGTATAGTATAGTATAGTATAGTATAGTATAGTATAGTATAGTATAGTATAGTATAGTCTAGTCTAGTCTAGTATCCTATAGTGTAGTAAAGAATCGTATTGATTGGCAAAATAGTGTATAGCACGGTCGAGCAAGGTGTAGTATGGTATAGTATGGTACGATACAGTATACTATGTGTAGTATATATGTATGTATATATATATATATATTGAGCGAGAATCATTCGCAGAAAAGTATAGTATAGCAGAGCAAAGTAGGGTGCAGTATAGTCTAGTCTAACCTCGTACAATCTGGTGTAACATAGTGTAGTATAGTACAGCACATCATAGTATAGTGTAGTACACTCTAGCACAACTCGCACAGCAGTTGTTAAGCCAAAAGCACAGAGAATATAAGCCTGTGACGTGAATTGGAGAGATACGGTGTTAGGTTGAATCCAGACTAAGTGCTTGATGTTGAGAAACCAAACTAACAGGAAGCTTCACGCCCTGGGGTCTAGCGGTTAGGTTAGGGTTTAGCTGAATTGCAATTGGACGAAGTCTTGGATGTTAACAGCTCGGGATTGAATTTGTTTTCCAGCTTTCTATTTTTTAGCTGTTTCTTCCTGTTTGACAGTTTGGTTAGTGCTGTTCGGTATAGTAGGAAATCTTAACTATGTGGTACAGAATATGCTTCGTTTCCAACGTCCAAGTTCCCTTTTTCCTAGTCTTGAAAGGCGTGCTTCTTCTGAGTTTGAACGGTTACATTCACGCTACGTCTTGGATGCATGTTCATGAACTTAGCCAAAGGCGTCTGTTTCCAATTTTGATTGTTTGCAACTTCTAATGTTCCAAATTCTAAAGACAAAATTTCAGTAGTCTTGACAAACCACATGTGTTGCCTTTCCATGTCCCATTTTCCAATGCTCCAACTTAAACGACTTTTTTTCTATTTCTGTATGGGGAAACTAGTACTTCAAAATGTTAAGCACAAGAACACAAGAAAATCCGGACTAGTCAGACCGTCAGACTCAAGAATCAGATGTTTAAACGCACAGGTGCAATGAATATTTCTTTGACGTAGATATTTTTGGATCTTCACAACGGGTTCCAAAGTGCATGAGGTT